TCTAGTGGCTGTAAGTCTTCCCGGGACATAATGGTACCAAAACAGAACTCAGGACTGCAGAGTGTTCTTGCTTCTTTCGTGGCTAAAGCTATCCCTGAGTCTCCGGAAGCGATAATTTTCCCATTATCTGACATTTGCCAACTCAAAGCTATAAGCATCGCCACTACAGAATTTTATTGCAGAATTTCAAAAATCTGGCAAAAGCTAAGGAGCCAGGACCGCCTGGGTTTCACCTGCATCGGGACAGAGCTCCCAGGGGGTTGTCTTGGGAGTTCAGTTCTACATGGGAATGCTATCTCCAGGACATTCCATGTAAGAGAAAACCACCGGAGACAAAACTCATTTACTTATAAAGGAGAATGTCCTACACCCCGATGCTGTTTGCATGCACGCCTGCTCCAGAGCCGACGTTGGGCTGTGTGACTCAAGAGACTGGCTGACAAGAGCCACTGCAGCCCTCAGGGAGGCTCAGCCAGTCCCCGGGCTCAGCACAGGAGCCCAGTTGATGGAATAGTGTCTGTGGCCCCTGTGCCTTCTGATTCCAGCCTACAGAGGAGACGCCACAGCTGCTGCACGTTAGCGTCCCCTGCCCCACGTCTCGCTCTCTCCACCCCAAGTGGCCCAGATGCACAAGCTGGCCGCACTTACACTGTGCCTTACACCAGGGTGGCCCAGGAGGACTCGGGCATGGGTTCAGTCGAGAGGACTTATCAGGAGGACAGGGCAGTGGAACTGCTGGAGGATTGACGTCACACTCCCGGCACCAACACGGGCTGCATCAACACGAGCTGACCACTCTCCTGGGTTGTCTTCACAACTGGCTGCGGCCGTGTGCTCACAGCTGGACTGGGATCTATCTCAGGTGCGTAGGGCAACCCATGGAGAGAAGCCCAGCCCTGTGCCCACACGCCATTGCTCTCAAGAGCTCAGGGAGGCTCCCAGCTGGTTCCACAGCTGGCTGCCACGGTGCACCCAGCTTCCTCAGGGGGCTGCAGCCACCAGGTCTACACCCTGTGACAGACCGCAGCTCTTTGGCCTGGCTGTTCTGGTCTCGGGGTAGGCAGAGGCTGCCCAGCCCCTGACAAGGTGACAGTCACGACTTCTGTGAGCTGTGCAGATATTCCTGGCTCAGGACCCCCTGGCCACACAGTGACCGCCCTGAACTTGCAGCCTGGCCCCTGCGTGCTGGCTGACTGGGATCTGGAAATGGCTGTTGATGGCCAGGCACGGAGAGGAGAGCCGCGCTCCCCCTAAACCTCTCTACTCGTTCCTTACACCCAGACCCCAGCTCTAAACCAGAAATCAGGAGAAACCGAGCACAACCAGCCTCACGGTCTTGGAAGGAAGGGCTGGAGGTGTACTTGTAAGAGCCAGACAGTCCTTCAAGTCCTCCCGGGGACCCCCCAGATGATGCGGAGAGTGACTGACGCAGTGACTTGGCTCAGAGTGAAGGAGCCTGTCTTCCCCCCAGAGCATCAACGTGGAGACAGTGGGAGGAGTGTGCAGAGAGTCTCCGACGACGTGAGCCGGGCTCACTGATGTGGGCTGTGGTGTTTACATTGGAAAACAAACAAACAATCAGAAAGCAGGAGGGCAGAACAAATTGACAGACTGCACCGAAGTAACCATTCCAAAATTACATGAATCACGGCCTGTTTTGGAATGACTGCTTACTTAAAAGCAGATGTTGTTTAAGAAGGATGAAGGGAGTGTGCTCTGTGTTGGGAGGAATTTTTGAAAAGGCAGCTGCTTTCCGGTGCCAGAAAAGATGGCTGCCTCTGGCTGGCTCTGTTGGCCCAAAACCCGGTCCTCCTTGAGACCCGCTGACCTGACTTGGCAGGTGGAATGAGCATGAGGAGGGTCCAGGGCAGACAGCACTCAGGCGGGGCAAGCTCATCACCTGGACAGCCTCAGGGTCTGCCCTGCCTGTTTCCCCTGAGGACCACCTGGCTGCCTGGCTGCAAGGAGCAAGGGCCTTGGTGCAAAGCCAGGCAGAGCCGTGGTGGTGATGGACGTCCTGCCCTCGGGGTGCACTGTATTCTTATCCAAGAGGTAAGCATGGGCTCTCTTCTTGCCCCTCCAACCCCAGGCTGTCCTTCAGTGAGCCAGTGATGATTCCCCAGGGGACGGGTGGCAGGAGGACGCACAGACACCCGCTCCCCTCCGGCTGCTCTGCTGTCCCTCGGCCTCTTTTCTCTCTCTCAAAACTATTTTGGGTGCTTCTTTGCTAAGTATCTGCTCCTCCCATGGTAGAATGCACCTCCAAGGGCAGGACTTTGCTCCTCTTGCTCCCAGCCATATGGCCACCGTGGCGAACAAGGAGTTCTTGTGAATAAGCGGATGGACGCACAATGGGCCAATTATGGTGAGTCTGGAAGAGCCGCCTCCCTTCCATCTGCTCGTGTGAGCGGCGTCTTGTTAAAGAACTCACCAACTAAGCAAGAACGGCTCCAGGAGTCAGGAGTCTGGGCGCTTTTCCCATCATGACTGGAGGGATGTGTTTGCGGAAAATGGGAGGAGAATGACCAGTGGAGCACCAGGCTCCGCGATGCTGAGATCTCCCCGATGAAAGAGGGGGATGATGGCGACCGAGGGAGAAGGGAAAGGCAGGTCCTGCCGCCATTTTGGAATGAACCACTGGGAAGATGCAGCCTGACTGAGGCGACTGGGCATCCCAGACTCAGGGCTGTTTCCTACTTTGTCTTCCAAGACAGTGGAGTCCGCTCAGCTTTGGAAGATTCTGGACCATCTGGAAGAAGTGGAAGGATGGAATCTCTCTCTGTGGGCAAGAGAGTCAAAGCAGAGACAGGCCACAGTGATGTGCTCATCTTATGACCCTGCCGACTGATCGGACATCTAGGCACAACATGCCTGAATATCCAAACCCGTAAGGAAGGTTCTGCCTGATGTCAGAACCGGGCTGTGAGGAGAGAAGAAAGAAGAACGCAAGACGGCCAAAGCACAGTGGCGAGGGCTGACTTCCTGATGGTGCGATTCAGAGGTGGAAGGTTCTGATGCGTCTCAGTTTGAGTGTGAAATGCTTCAGGAAGGACAGAGGCGCCTGGGCACTGAAGGCCGCAGGAGGAATCTGCTCAGACCCAAGCCTGGGGAGGGCCAGAGCAGGAATCCCAGGGTGCGTCCTTTCTGTGCCAGGCCGACCCTGAGCGGGAACCCTGACAGCCCCTACCCGGCTCTCCACAAGTCCACACGGAGCCCCAGAGGGCTGAGATGGAAGGGTGTGGGCAGGCATGCGGCTCGGCCTTCTCTTGGACTTTGCTGGAGCCAGGCCCAGTGAGGAAGGCTTAGGACGCTTTCACACTCTAAGCTCAGAGACAAAAGCCATCACACTCATATCCCAGCCAGATAAAAGTGACATCAGGCACGTAAATGACCAAGCCTGCAGGAAAGAGCAGATGTCTCTCAAGAGCTAAACCGACTGTTTCAAAAACTTAAAGGGTCAACAGGTGGCCAGTGGACAGTGGCCAGCATGCTGCCTCGGGGACTTGTGACAGGGAAGCCAAAGGTACACAGGGGAAGAGACAAAAATCTTGGGACCTCACCCAACCGTGGTGAGGTCTTGGATACTTCTTAGGGGGAAAGAAGCCACAGAAAAGGCAAGGCCTGGGGCTTGGGGTGTCCACTGGTGGACGACTGCTGAGCCTGCATCCGGCCTGACGCAGCGCACCCTGAGCTGCAGCTGGGCATCCCTCACTGCAGTGGGCTGAGCCCTTTCCTGTGCCACCCCCAAGGGGTGTGGCAAGCACCTAACAGTGGACATCTCTGCATTCCCTCCCTCCTGCACCGGTCACGGTGGCCAGGGAGTGTTGCTGGAGCAGCATGGACTCTCTAGACTGGTGTGCACCGGGCCACCTTTGCTTCTCTGGGCTCATCCCTGGGGGGGAACTCGCAGCCCTGCCCTGAGCCTACGCCAAGAGGCTGCTGCAGGGTGTGGGGAGGGTCAGCCTCCTGCCTGGGCTCCCCAGTACTCAGAACACCCAAGTCCAGCTCGGCCGCCTCTGGCCAGCCGCCAGCCCTTGTCGTGTGCTCACACAGAGCTGTGTTCGCCTAGAGCAAGGGAGGCCCGGCGCCCACCTGCAGGGAGAGAGGGGCTCGAGGGTACAGGTGGCACTACACAGATGCCATGCAGGCGAGTCTCAGAACCCAGGACAGCCAAGGGCCAGGGGCAGATGCTGCTCATGTCTTGGCAAGTGCCAAATCTTCAAGGAAAAGGACAACACAAAGACCAAAAACCAAAAGAACCGCTTCCCTGGTTCTGAGCCATGCGTGGGTGCAGCCTCCGGGAGGACGTGGTGCGGGAGCCCTTTCCCTCCCGGGACGGCTTCCCTATCCACACGCTTCAGGGTGTCTCAGAGGGAGACTGAGTCCCCTGCTAGCTGGGGACGGGGAGGGGCACAGCACTGCCATCTCCCTGGCCTTTAACCTCAGTTAAAGGTCCCTCCGTCTTGTCACACGGTCCCTCAGTCTGGTCACAGGTCCCTCAGTCTGGCCACACACTCTACTAGTGAGATGGAGGTCACGCTGGCCACACAGGAAACTCATCCTTTGGAGAGTGACCCCCAAACCTGATCTGGGCTTCTGCCTTTAAGGCAGGATGTGGGGCCAGGAGACGGATCTCCAGGTCCCTCACCAGGTGCCGACGAGCAGCACGTGGGGCCCAGGGAGCCGTATTTCTAGGTGGGGGGCATTCTGTCACCGGGCCCCAGCTTGGTCCCGTGTCCCTGGGAAGGGGCCTGGCGGGGTTCTTCACCAGGAAACGCAACACTGGCTGCGGCGGCGGCTTGCCCTGGTTCCCACTGACCTTCACGGTCACCCTGGGCCCAAGTAAAAGCGGCAGCGCCTGCCCACCCAGGCGCGGGGGACCACTCAGAACGTGCTGGGCACCCTCTCTCCACGCGGCTTCTCATCCCCAGACGGGGGCCCGAGCACTTGCGTGTGGCCCCGACGTGCGCGCGCACACCTGGAAGGATGTACGCTTCTGCTGTTTGGAACTGGAAAATTTCTTTAATTCAGTCTATGCTGTATAACACAGATGTCCAGGAACCCACCGCCCACCCAGCCTGGGGCCAGGCCCCTTCTCGGCAGCCAGCCACGCCAATGTGCGCGCAGCCGTTAGGTCGCATCTTCCAACAACTGAGTGCAGAGGGGAACATGGGTGCACAGGTGTGTACATATGTATAGAAAACCGTGGTGTTCTTCATTCTGGCCCCGGATGACAAATCGCACGTTGGTGGCACTCAGCAAGTATCTATGTCACTCAGGGCCTCGTCGCCTGGGCCGAGGCTGTCCCCCAAGATGCACGAAACACCAGGTCACCAGGAAGAATGAAGACTATGCTCACCTGTGGAACTGTATTTCCAATATAGGCGTATATATGCGTGTGTGAGTGTGTGTGCAGGGGTGTGTGTGTGCGTGTACGCGCTATGCGTGTGAGGTTGCCAGAGTAGAAAATACCAGTTTATTTTGTTCGTACTAAGCATGTTAAATAAATTGGATTTTGTAACCTATAACACAAATCTTTTTAAAAAGGAACATTGGAGGTCTTCAAAAATTGCTACAGTACAAAAAAAGTGTGTGTGTGTTTGTGTGTGCGTGTGCGTGTGCGTGTGTGTGTCTGTTGGTATTTATATATTTATATATGTATATTAACCAGAAATAGTGACTCTATCGGAAGAGAACCCCACCCCTGTTTTCTGTAAGATTTCGACACGTGATCTGCTCGGCTCCGGCTCTGGGCCGAGGCTCTCGGTCAGTACATGGCACATAATGGTATTATTGGCACAGGTTCAGAATCGTGGTACAAATCCCAGGCTTTGGTGGCCTCCTGTCCTTTCCTCTTGGCCTCCCTCTGTCTCCGGTCCCCCTTCTTGCATTTCTTCTTTCTGTTCTCCAAAGAAAACTCTGGAAGAAGGCAGTCACCCATAGGCGTGAGCAATTTTTACAAAAATAGATTTGGCCTAGAGCATCCTGCTGCGGCTTTTCCCACCGGCAAACAGAAGTGGGAGGTGCGGGACCTCCCCCTCGGAGAGTTTAGTTTTAGGTTTTGTGTTTTTGTTTGTTTTGTTTTTACAGGTTCACCAACGGAATCCTGGGTGGGAAGAACACAGAAGAGGTTAAATGGCAGCAGGCCCAGGCACAGGAGGCCCAGGGGACCCCGCCACACACCCAGCCCAGGGGCTCTGGTCCGTCCACAGTCACCCGGTGGCCACAGAACACCAAGATTCTCTTGAAGTCAGCCACCAGGAATGGGAGCAAAGGCTGGGAGCCCCGGGGCCGCGACACGTGCCCGACGCTTGTGTCAGCTGCTGCCGTCCACGTAGGCCTGCTTCCTAACAGGGGCTGGGCCCACCTCCTCCACTGACCCACGGTCACTGCACCCAGGCGTGCTGTTAGTGGGCCTGGGTGCACCCACCCTGCGGCCACTTCCTGTCCAGCTCTGACCAGGGAGCCGAGGTTAATGATGGCCCTCACCCAGCCTGCTACCTCCCAGCCACACAAGGGCAGCTCCATGCGGCCTACAGTGCAGAGGCCACTCAGCCCTGTGGACTGTCCCCCTGCCGAGGTCTGGTGTCCCCTTCAGTCCAGCAGTCTCTTGGAGGCTTTGCTCTGCTGGGGTCCCCTACCCTCTCCTTCGTATTTCCAAGATTTGGGAGAGGGAGGGGTTTCAAACAAATGAAGTGATTAAACACAGAGAGATGCCCCTGGCAGGCCTCCCTTCATCTGAACGGTTCTTGAAAGTTAAAAAGTCTATATGCATGATTCCAACTCATGTGAGGGACCTGGAATCGTCATGTTCACAGAAGGTCAGCAGACCGGGTACCCAGGGCTGGGGAGGGGCCCGGGGAGATGGACATTGGTGATAGCCGCTGGATAGCATCTCTCTCCTCCGCAGTGTCTCCAGGTCAATTTAGAGAGGAGAGAGAGGTGGCTTCGACCCTGTATCTGTCATGGCCATTTGAAGACCAGTGTTGGCTCCTTGCAGGTGTGGGGGGTCCCCTGCAAGCGGGGGCAGGTACTAGCATCAGGCCAAGGAGGGGGGAGCCCAGGCTGCCAGGGCACCTGCAGGCATGCCCTCCGTTCCTGGCCAATCCTGCTGCTTCAACTTTGGCCGGGGGGAGTGCTTTGATTTTTCTGTTCCAAAGTCTCAGTACAAAAGCCTCAGGGGCACTAAGCCTGGAGAAGGAGGCGGAGCCCAGGTTGGTGGAAAAGCTGCAGGAGGTGGCCCTGGACCCCCAGGCTGGAAAAAGTTAGGCGAAGGCAGAGAAGCTGGGGCGTCACCATCCCCGGGAGCAAGATGTGGGGTGACTCCTGCCCTCTGCTGCCTGGAAGGAGACTTGGGCTGTGAATGTCCCCGGGGCTCCTGGGTTTGATGCTTAGCATCTGCTTTTGTAAAAGAGAGAACAAGCTGCCTGCAGCCAGGTCCCCTCGGGGCCCAGGAGCCACTAGTCGGTTTCCCCCCACCCCCCAGGGTGTTCTTGGTGCTGGATTCCAGAGAGCACAGTGTCCAGAAGGCCCCGGCTGTTGCTTTAAAAGAAAGTGTTCCTTGGAATTACAAAAGCTAGATACTCTATCAACGCATTTTTTAAAAATAAAAAAAAAAATAATAATGTGGGAAGGCTCAGGTGCATTTCTTACTTATTTATTTGCAACGCCTTCAATGTGTTTTTGAAAATAATAAAACAGTGATTTATTTCTCACTTGCTCCAGATTCAAGAGCCCTTATGGCTTTTGAGGCTACATTTAAGATGAAGTGGCTTTGGCAAATGGGAAGAGATGGAGGAACTCTAATGAGGTGTTGTCAAGTTTACCTGGTCTAGGAAAAATGGCAGGATAGAGCCCACGGGCCAGTGACAGGTGTGGGTCTAAGGTCCCTTCCGTGGAACAAGGAAGGCCAGGCACATTCCTCTGTGTCCAGAACTATCTGCCCCACTGCAGAAGAGGTATGAGGCAAGAATCATCTGGAGCCCACCAGGGGCTAAGCCCAGGGAAGTGGGCCACGTCTGCCCACGAGCCTCGGTGCTGCAGACAACCTGCCTGGAGGGCACAGCTGGGTCCCGTGTGTGCGCGCGCGGGTGGGCGTGAGAAGGTGAGGACTGGTATGGAGAATTGCAAACAGCCACCTCTCCACTAGAGATGCATTCAGAGCGTCTTAATGGCTACGCAAGAGGTGAATACCTCCGCCGGCTCTTAAAACCTAATTTAATGCTCTAGTATTAATGGCTATTTGTTTAAGGGACAGTAAGCAGCCCAGCAAATCTGAGAGGCCTCTCTGGCTGTTCTCTGCTCCATGCTCATGCCCAGGTACTCGTGGGTTTTTAGAATCTCAACACATTCATCCCAGCGAGAGATGAATGGTTCGTCACCCAATAGAGATGGGATCTGTCGCCATGCAGAGATAGGACCTTTAGGCATTCATCCAGGACTAACAAGATGCCTGCACAGCCCTCCCTGTCCACGTCCACAGAGAGTCACCAGGAGCAAACGAGGCCTTTGTGGTGGCTGACGTGGTGGCTGAGCTCAGTCTCAACTCAATGATGCCCCTCCAAGACCCACAGGGAGGGGCTCAAGATGCTGGTACAGGGACATCCTTTGTGTCCGTGGGGGTGGTCCTGAAACAGCTCCTGGGCAGAGTGGGGAAGCGGGTGCCCAGGGGCCTGTCTGGGGCACCCCACCTCATGCCCTGTGTGCCAAGAGAGCTCACCAGTGCTGTTGTGGTGCTGGGAGGGGACAGCCAGGTTGGGGAGACAGCCGATCCCTGTGGAGGGCTTTCTAGAATAGAGGAGTAAGTACAAGTCCGCTCCAGCCCCTCAATTCTGTGTTTTTGTAAAAGTGGTGTGCCGTGGCTGCTTGCTCCTGGACACAGGAAGTGCCCCAGGTCAGGCCTCTGGATGCTCAGGAGCTGGCCTCCGCCTGCAGGGCTGGACCTGTGGAGCCCAGTCCCTGATTTGGCCAGAGGCCCCTGCCAGTGGGAGGGCTTGGTCATCCTGCAGGGGGCTCGGGAAGCAGGGCCTTTGGACGGGTGGGCAGGGAGCACCCCTGGAACAGGCAGCCAGGGTGGTCCTGTCCCTGCACTGACAACCTGACTGACCCTGGCCAAGGCACTGAGCCTCCCTCTGCCTCCGTTTCCCCCCTGAGAGTGGGACTTCTGGGAGGAGCGAGGGAGTCCTTGTGCCCAGGAGTGGGCTGCCGTCGGAGCACACAGATCAGGGAGCCTCGCCCTGAGAAGGCCCCCTGGAGCAGAGGAGTGTGGCCTGCAGTCTGGGGGCAGAGGGCAGCAGAGCGAGGCCTGCCACCTGCAGGCCCAGCATGTCCATCCAAGCCACCTTCAAGCTGCGAGGGACGCTGGTGCCCACCTGGCCCTGGCACCTGCTGATTCCTCACCAGGGTGCCAGGGCCTCCACTGCCAATGAGCAGCGCCCTGTGGCTAGCTTGGTCGGGTCACCAGAGGGGGCCGCCTGCAGCCCCAACGAGGGAGGGGAGGCACGTTGAGCCGACAAAGGCCCACCGCTTCAGAGGACGCGCATCCCGCGCTGCTGCCTGACGTGGGGCTGGGCGGCCGCCCGCCCTGCGCAGGAGGCTGGTTTCAGTCTGACCTGACCACTCTGCTGGCCTGTGGGCAGAGCAGTCTGGCTTCAGGACAGGGAGCGAGCCTGGAGACTCGATTTGGGCTTCATGAGCACTGGATTCGGACGCACCGCTCCATTCCTGCTCTGCCTGCAGCCCGCCCCTCGGCCCCAGCCCAGTGGTGAGAGCCGAAGCCTGGGGGCCTGGGGGCTCTTGGCCTCACCCTGGCCACCGCCTTTCTCACTGGCTGTCTCATGGGAAAGGTGAGGGACAAGCACAGAGATGGCTGTCAAATGCCGGGCAGCGGCTCCTGGGAACAGGCTCCTCCTCTTGGAAGGCACTGAGGCCTGGTCTGGAGGAGCGTGTGCAGAGGGCGGGTGAGGATGCCCAGCAAGCCTGGCATCGCAGAGAACACAGCAGAACAAAGCAAACCCCCTGGCTGGGTGCACGCCTGTGGCCTGTGCTTGTGGGAACTCTCTCCCCGGCAGCCCCGCGGGGCTCAGAGATCCAGACAGAAGAAAGCAATTTAACGTCAGCATCCACGTTGATATCGCTGAAAGCCAACGAAATGTCCCTACCCAGCAGAGCGTGGAAGACTCACCCTGGTTGGTGCTAGTCCCTGGCTTTAAATTAGTAGACGCCTCAACTCTTCACTTTCCTTCTTTATCATGCTCTTTCTTATCTCTTATTTTTATATTTCAGAATTGTGTTTCAATTCCGCCTCCCACCCTCTCCCAGGTGAAGTCCTGTGCCGGGGGTGCCAGGCCTGCCCACGCCGCGGTGGCCCTCATCCCTTCCTGTTGGGGAAAACGAGAACCGGCAGAGCTGGTTTCCCTGCCACACAGGCCTGCTTGGGTGGCCCTCTTAGGACGGCTGGAGAGACACAAGCCACCTTGCTCCTGGAGCCTGCCCCTGTCTGGGCTGCTCCTTGGGGCCCCGGGCCTAGCCACAAAGCACTTAGAGACCCCCCTGTGGATTGCCTTCAGGGAACCTGACAGCAGGTGGGTTTGCACTCACGGGAAAGGGACCCCCGATTATCCCAAGGTACCGACAGGGAGAGGGCGGGCGGCGGTAGGGGTGAGGGGAGAACGCGCCGAGAGCCGAGAGAGGAACAAACCTGAAGCAGACACGTGGCGTCCGCCCTGCCCCCAGGAGGTAAAAAAGCCTTCTGCCAGTCAGCAGGAGATTTCAAACCACTTCTCAGACACAAAGGCCACAGGGATGAGATGCCGGTCAGCAGAGGAGGACCTGCGGAGACAGAGGGTGGGTGTGAATGTCCTTCAGAGACTCTGTGTCCCCAGGAGGATCCCGAGAAGCCACTGGTAAGGGGCCTCTGGCTGGCTCGGGAAGGGACGGCCCCTCTCGGGGCAGGGAGAGTTCTGCCCTCACCGACACTCCTTCCGCCTGGAGGGCTGCAGCACACGGGCCCAGTGGCAGACTCTGGCGTGGGGCTGCAAGGCTGGCGCCCCACACTCAGGCTCTCCCCAGATTCAGTTTGGAATTGGCGGGGTGGGCCTAGAGCTCAGCCTGTGTCTCTGAGGCAGGGATCTGATGTGCCTCACTGACCAGGAGGGGCTTGTGCAGTGGCTCCTTATTTCATCACCTTGGAGCCCAGGCCGCTGTGTCCCAAGGCCAGTGACACCCAGCAGAGAGCACCGTGGGCCAAACGCCAGAACCCATTCCAGCCGTGCCTGTACCCTCTACGCAGGGCGTGAGCGCGGGGCGTGAGCCTGCCGCTGTGCTGACCCGCCCTTGGACTCAAGCATGCAGAGGAACAGCACGAAAAACAAGCCCCTGCCCAAAGCCCCTGCCCAAAGCCCCCTCCCCAGAGGCCAGAGCACGGGTGCTGGGCCAGGACTCAGCCAAGCCAGTGCTTGCGCTTTCGGTGGGCGGCCTGTAAACCCCTCTGCTGGTTCTTTGTGAACACAGCCCCCTGGAAGGCCAGGGTGTCCCCAGCGAACTCCCCCGATGTCCACGTGTGAGAGCAAAGTGGTTCAGAGCGGCGGCTCTGGGTCCTCTGTGCAGGGCTGTCCTCCCCTGGGTGGGAAGGAGGGTGCCTCAAAGCTACCTCACAAGTCCTACTGCAGCATTGGGAGCTCACGGAACCACGGACACTAGAAATGGCCACAGTACCGTGGACACTAGAGGTGGCCCTGGCAGCCAAGGCCCTGCCTCCCTGCCCCCAAGCAAGTCAGAGACAGGGCGGGTGGCTTCTCCACCTTTCCCCAAGGCCACCCCAGGTGAGGCTCCCGGGTGAACTCTCAGGAGTGCTGGGGGCGGGTCCTGGCTGCCCTCCCTGTGGGGAGGGGAACTTCAGGGCAGTCTGGAGCCTGCTCCCTTCTCCCTGAGGTCTGTAAGTTTTCTTTTTAAATTTGCAAAATGATGCATGAGGGCTGCTCTCTTTTTAAAAAATAGCTTATTGATATTTTAATTTAATTCTGGACAAACCTTGAGAAGCTGACTCAGGGTTTCTCCAGCACCCCAGGGGTGGCCGGAGGAGGGTGTCTTCTTTGAGGGATTGCACGGGAATGATAAAAAGAGCATTTAATGAGCCGCGTCTGGACTCTGATTGGCATCTGGTCTTTCTGCCCCACGTGCTGCTGATGCTTACCGCCGGGTCGCAGAGACCTGACTCTGGGCAGGGCCAAGTCTAACGTGTCCATCCTCGGGAGGGACAGCTGCATGGCTGGCTTTGAACCCCGGGGTGACGGGCACTGCCTGCCCCACGTAGCGGAGAACGCAGGGGAGCCCGCGGCTCCTTTCCCTGCCCACACCTGGGGATTCCCGCCACGCTGCTGTTGCCCAAGGGAGGCGACGTGCCCATGGGTACCTACCACCTTCCTCTTGTTTGGCCAAAGTGGCTGTCTGCGTTGCTGGCCCCTCAGTGGTCTCTAGGGCCACCTGACCTGTCCAGGGGCTGCAGCAGGGCCACAGCCAGCGCCAGGGTCTGACCCAGGAGCAGCGCGTGGGACCTGCCCACACTGAGCTTACCGGTTCCCATTGAACGTGGACTTGTACTCCCCCGAGGGGTGCAGCGTCTCGTCGGTGTACACGGGCACGGACGCCCGGACACACTCGTGGGAGCACTGCAGCGTCTCGTTGTAGGCCGTGAAGATGTCCATGCTGCTGGGCACCCGGGCCGGGGTGAAGTCCGTCAGGTTCTGGCAGCTCTCCTCCTGCTGGTTGGTCTTGCGCTGGTGGCTGTTCCTCCGGGTGTTCCCGCTTTGGGCGCAGCTAGGAGAGAGAGGGCTCGGGTGGGGGGCAGGCA